TTCTGCTCTCCTCTTCTGCTCTCCTCTTCTGCTCTCCTCTTCTGCTCTCCTCTTCTGCTCTCCTCTTCCTTCCTCTCTCTTCTTCCTCCCTCGCTCACCTCGATCAGCCTCGCATCTTCTTCAACAGTCCACGAGAGCTTGTTGATGTCAGGGTTCAGATGATTGTGCCATCGCTCCCTGCACTGCTTCCCCTTCCTCCCCGGCAAAACCTTCACGACCGTCACAAGACCACACGACGAATGAGTGAAGAGTGGAAGGGGGGAGGAGGAGGAGGAGGAGGAGGAGGAGGAGGAGGAGGAGGAGGAGGAGGAGGAGGAGGAGGAGGAGGAGGAGGAGGAGAAGGCAGTGGTGGTGGTAGTGTGGAGGAGGTGGAGGCGAAGGAGCAAGCGGAGGAGAGCAACCTGAGCGATCCTCGCCCATTGCTTGGTTCCATACTTCTCAACGTATTGAATGACCTGCTCACTCACACCATCAGCATCATGGCGTCACTCCTGCCTCGTCCTCCTCTCCTTTATCCTCTCTGCTCCCTGACCTTCTCGTCTTCCTCGCGCGTCCATTGCCCTTTGATGAAGCCTCCTTTCAGATCAGCCTTCCTCTCCATCCCGTCCTTGTCCTGCACCATCCCCATCATTTTCTCTTCCTCCCCCTCCAGCTGTCTGACCCTCTCGAGATTCTCAGCATCGTCCTGGTACTTGTCGCTCGCCCGGTTGTCGTCCTCGCCGTCGTGCCATGCGGGGGGCAGCAGGTCGGCGTTGGTTGGGCTCTCCTCGTTCCCTCTCATCGATGCGTCTGGATGGTCCGAGGCAGCGCTGAGCTGTAAACTCCCGCTCCTGGCAAGAGCACGACGATGTTCAATCAACAAAACAAGAGGAAGAGGAGGAGACGAGGAGCAACACAGGAGCAGGTCACGAGAGAAGCAGATCGTTCGGGCAGACAACAAGGCAACTTCATCATCTCACTTTGGCACATCACTTTCACCCGACGCGTCGAGATCGCTGGGCACTGCATTGAAGAGCTCTTCCCTCCCCTCTGCTCGTACGCAGCTCTTCTTGGCTCTCCTCTGCCCGCTGAGAGGCGAGCTGGAAGGGAGAGACCTCTTCATCTGCACCTCCTTCTCCGCCTGCAGCAACAGTCACGTCAAGTATCCCTTTACGCTCACTCTCTCGTCCGCGTCGGTCCTGTTCTGGCTACTTCTAGCTCCTCCCTCCTCCCTCCTCTCTCCAGCAAAGTTGTCTTCTCGACTCTCAATTCGTGGCGCGTGCTGGTCAACAAGCACGTAATAAAGACCATATTGCTGTCTCAACTTCTATGGAGTACCTTAACTTTGTCCTCTTTCCCTTCCTCCTTCCCCAGTCTACCTACCTCCTTTTCCCGCCTCCTCACAGGGTCCTCTGCACAATTACTACCCTTCCCTCCTCTCTGTCTGACTCATCTTCTCCCCACGTTTAATCCTCCCTCTCCCGTTCTTCCCTTGTCTTCCTCCTTCCCCTCCCTCCCCCTACATTGTTGCCTGAAATTCCTGGCAGTACCCTCTACTCGCTTCCTATCAGTTCCTCAAGACCTTGCGGACTGTGAGAAGGTGGGAGCAGCAAGGATGACGCCCAGTGGGTTCTCTCTCTCCTTGGTGGGTGAAGTTGGC